AACAAAAGTGTGTAGGGTTTGTGGAGATGAGATTGGATACAAAGAAGATGGGGAGTTGTTTGTGGCATGTCATGTGTGCGGCTTCCCAGTTTGCCGGCCTTGTTATGACTACGAAAGGAGTGAAGGCAACCAGTGCTGCCCTCAGTGCAACACTCGGTACAAGCGTCACAAAGGTGACATTTTCGATTAGTTGTATGATCTCACTAATTAATGTGGCATATGCATATGTTCTATGTGGAATAAGTCTTAAATATATATGTGACGCGTTACACTTTGTAACCTGTAGGTTGTCCTAGAGTCGCTGGAGACGAAGATGACTTCGATGCAGATGATTTTGATGATGAGTTTCAGATCAAGATTGATCACCATGATGATACTGCAGAACAAAATCATGTCATTGCTCGTTCGGTACTAACTTCGTCTAGTTTATTTAAGATTATAAGTTGTTCTTGATCTGAGAATTGTAGTAACCTTAAGGCACTCAAGTAGTAAAGTGTTTGATATTGGTGAGTCTTTTGCAGGAAAATGGAGACCACATTCAACAGCAATGGCATCGAAACGATCAACCTTTCTCTGTTGGAGGAAGTGGTGAGGATTTAATTTAATTCAATTTATATTACTAAATGTAAAGGGAACTTGTTTATTAAACAGGCACGCTTTGTCCGTGACATCGGTAAGTGTCAGACCACAAAGGGAACTTTTTTATTTTTCAGAATTGCATTTATTTGATTTACGCTATATTTGGTTTCTGTAGTTGCTGGAAAGGATTTTGAAGGCGAGAAAGATGTATTGAGCACTGCAGAGTGGAAAGACAGAGTAGAGAAATGGAAAGTGAGGCAAGAAAAGAAAGGTTTGGTGAGCAAAGACGGCGGAAATGATGAACAAGGCTTGGAAGATGACTTCCTGTAAGTTGGATTTGTGCTTATTCTGTGTAGCAAATTTAGTTTTTGTCAAGTGATGCCACGGTGTTTCATTATTCGAATATTTTCGCAGTTTGGCTGAAGCCCGCCAACCACTGTGGCGAAAAGTACCCATCTCATCAAGCAAAATCAGCCCTTACCGCATAGTCATTGTCCTCCGGCTTGTGATTCTAGCCTTTTTCTTCCGTTTCCGCATCTTAACTCCGGCCAACGATGCTTATCCCTTGTGGCTCATATCTGTGATTTGTGAGATATGGTTTGCATTTTCTTGGATACTTGATCAGTTCCCCAAATGGAACCCCATCAACCGCGAAACTTACTTAGACCGCCTATCCATAAGGTTCGAGCGTGAGGGTGAGCCTAACACATTATCCCCAGTTGATGTCTATGTGAGTACAGTGGACCCTCTCAAGGAGCCTCCAATCATTACAGCAAACACAGTTCTCTCGATCTTAGCTATTGACTACCCTGTTGACAAGATCTGCTGCTATGTCTCGGATGATGGTGCTTCAATGCTCCTTTTCGACGCGCTATCAGAGACTGCAGAGTTTGCAAGAAGATGGGTGCCATTTTGCAAAAAACATACCATTGAGCCTAGGGCCCCCTGAGTTCTATTTCTCTCAGAAGATTGATTACTTGAAGGACAAGGTACATCCGAACTTTGTGAAGGAGCGCAGAGCCATGAAGGTAAGGAAAAGAAAATTAGTTTATATAGCAGACACTTCGACAACAATGAAATGATGTTTAAAGGATTTTTTGTGTGGTATTGCAGAGAGAGTATGAAGAATTCAAGGTAAGGATTAACGCGTTGGTGTCGAAGGCTCTGAAGAAACCAGAAGAAGGATGGGTGATGCAGGATGGCACTCCATGGCCCGGGAACAACACTCGTGATCATCCTGGAATGATCCAGGTTAACATTAATTTTATCTTATATTCATCTATTAATTGAGTTTTGGCTTTATTATATTCTCAAATATAAGGAGACTAAAAAGTAACGAAAATGGACACGAGATGGCTTATTTTCACTTGATTTGCAGGTTTATTTGGGAAGTGAGGGTGCACTAGATGTAGATGGTAAGGAACTACCGCGTCTTGTGTATGTTTCGCGTGAGAAACGTCCTGGCTATCAACATCATAAGAAAGCTGGAGCCATGAATGCTTTGGTGAGCAAATGTTGATTTAATATGTGTACTTAAGTCGAAGATAGATTCGCGCATTCAGCAATATTTATAACTTGGACATGTTGTCTGATCAATAGGTTCGAGTTTCTGCGGTGCTTACTAATGCACCCTTCATGTTGAATCTGGATTGTGACCACTACATCAACAACAGCAAGGCTGTAAGAGAAGCTATGTGCTTCCTAATGGATCCACAGCTCGGGAAAAAGCTCTGCTATGTTCAATTCCCTCAAAGGTTCGATGGAATTGATCGTCACGACAGATATGCTAATCGAAATGTTGTCTTCTTTGATGTAAGTGCCACGCGATCTTTAAACTACTCCATCTCTTGCAGTAAAAACTCTTTGCCTCTAAAACTTGGCTCAATGTCTTGGGCTGTTTTTTGTTATAGATCAACATGAGAGGCCTAGACGGGATCCAAGGACCGGTATATGTTGGGACTGGATGTGTCTTCAATAGGCAAGCATTGTATGGTTATGATCCGCCTGTTTCTGAAAAGCGACCTAAGATGACATGTGACTGCTGGCCTTCATGGTGCTTCTGTGGCTGTTGTCGCAGTAAGAAGAAATCTAAGTCTAAGAAGCATGGGGTGAAAAGTCTTCTCGGGGGACTTTACTCCAAGAAGAAGAAAATGATGGGGAAGAACTACGTTAGAAAAGGGAGTGCGACAATGTTTGATCTTGAAGAGATTGAAGAAGGGTTTGAAGGTTATGATGAGTTGGAGAAATCATCACTCATGTCACAGAAAAATTTCGAGAAACGATTTGGACAGTCTCCGGTTTTCATTGCTTCCACACTTATGGAAAATGGTGGCCTTCCTGAAGGGACTAATAGCCAAACACTCGTTAAGGAGGCCATTCATGTGATAAGCATTGGCTATGAAGAAAAAACTGAATGGGGCAAAGAGGTGAGTAGCATTATGATGAACTTCTGCTCTATCTATATAAAGATTTAAGATTCTTATATTCGGTTAAACTATTTGATCTCTAGGATACATGCACAAATTGCACCGGTTACAAACTAATAACAAAAATTAGGTGTGATGGAGACTAGGCCGATAATAAGCCGTATATAAATTCAATGATGTAGGTCTAGTTATGCATATTAACCTGTATCTTTGGATATGTTAGGCTTTGATAGGAAGTTGATAAAACCCAAAAGTGATGAAATATTTGGTTTTTCCGTTGCAGATTGGGTGGATTTATGGTTCAGTTACAGAAGATATTTTGACAGGCTTCAAGATGCATTGTAGAGGATGGAGGTCAGTGTACTGCATGCCAAAGAGGCCAGCTTTCAAGGGATCTGCTCCAATAAATTTGTCCGATCGTTTGCACCAGGTTCTGAGGTGGGCTCTTGGCTCTGTCGAAATCTTCCTTAGTCGTCATTGCCCGTTGTGGTACGCATATGGAGGAAAACTAAAATGGCTGGAGAGGCTTGCTTATATCAACACCATTGTCTATCCTTTCACTTCCATCCCCTTACTTGCCTACTGTATCGTTCCAGGCCGTCTGTCTTTTGACTGGAAAATTCATCATCCCTACCGTAAGTACTTCTTACTTCAGGAGATAAAGAACTGATTACAAACTTTTGATAAAACAAATAACTGGAGTGACAATGAAGCGTGGTTTATTCATTATATACGGCTTCTATGTTCCGTGTCCCCTCAATTCTGTTTTATATCATAGGACATGTGCCAATGAAGTTTTTGATTTTCAAAGAACTATCATTTTTTCATGAATCATATTATCTAATAAGAATCTAAAATTTCGTGTAGCTGAATAACTTTGCTAGCATATGGTTCATGGCTCTTTTCCTCTCCATCATTGCAACCGGCATCTTAGAGCTCCGATGGAGCAATGTGAGCATTGAGGACTGGTGGCGTAACGAGCAGTTTTGGGTGATTGGTGGAGTGTCTGCACATCTTTTTGCCGTCTTCCAAGGCCTCCTCAAAGTCTTGTTCGGAGTTGACACCAATTTCACGGTTACTTCAAAAGCGGCAGACGATGCTGAGTTTGGTGAACTCTACCTCTTCAAATGGACTACTCTTCTCATACCACCAACCACACTCATTATCTTAAACATGGTGGGAGTTGTAGCTGGAGTTTCTGGTGCCATTAACAATGGCTACGGTTCATGGGGTCCGTTGTTTGGCAAGCTGTTCTTCTCCTTTTGGGTCATTGTTCATCTCTACCCCTTCCTCAAAGGTTTGATGGGAAGGCAAAACAGGACTCCTACCATTGTGGTACTTTGGTCAGTTCTTCTTGCTTCCATCTTCTCATTGATTTGGGTGCGAATCGATCCCTTCCTGCCCAAGCAAACTGGACCAATTCTTAAACAATGTGGTGTGGAATGCTAGACCTGTTTCTCTAGAAAATCTCCGGTGTATATTGGGATCTTTTGCCTTTTCTTCCCTTCATTGATTGTCTTTACAGTTATACAACTTTTGCTTGTTTGTCTTCAAATTTTCTCAAGTTTCCAGAGAGGGTGATTTGTATACACACTATACATATATCCATTAAAAGAGATATTGACAGTAAGGTCCCAACCGCTCTAGTGTTTCTCACTTTGTCCTTAAATTTGTTTTTCAGGAAGTGATTTTCTACATCTTTTTCTTCCACAATAATTTTATTTTTATAATATTTGAATTGAATAAATCAAAATAATCAGAGGACATAAAAAAGGGAATGAGTGCAAAAAGAGAATGTGAGTGAAAAATGGACAAATTATTTAATTGACTGATATTTTGCAAAGTTAACTATAAAGCAATGAATTTGTAGCTCATACACTTAAAAGCGTTTATGTGTATACATGAGGTCATGTTCGAATCCTCTTGGAAAAACGGGGTTTTGTAGAAAATTTGGAGTTCAAAGCATATATTTTTGGCAGGTGAAATTTGGAAACATTGAAAACTTTGGCTTGCTTGCATATAAAGCTCTGGTATATGGTACAAGTACACCTCTTGTGTGTTCAAGACTGTCCGTACAGGTCTCGAACCCTTTTGGTTATGAGAAAAACTCAGGGATATATTGCGGTTACATGTAAGAATCTACCGAGCATCTAGAAACAAGTCTTATTGACTATAGGCACAATGCATATACATACAAAATACAACTACACCAAGAAATGGCTATATCCATTCCTCCTATTTTTGATGCCCGGTTAGTTTGTTGATGGTTAATGCACCAAATGGTTTGGAGAGGTAAGGCAGGTTCTGAGCCGATAGCTCTTGTGCCACATGACGCATTGTGGGTCGCAACTCAGGATGTGGACGAGCGCAGGCCAAAGCTAAGGTGACAACAAACGCCACTGCCTCTGCCAATTCACCGGTTGGAGGCTCCAGCCTTTGGTCTAACACATCTTTTAAAAGCAGCACTGCATTTCCCTTCAATGTTTTTGATGCTTCTAATAAGGACTCGAGCGTTTCCCCTGGGTGTCTTCCCATCACGATTTCTAGTGCCACCACTCCAAAGCTAAACACATCGCTCTTATCCGTGACGCGCATAGTGAATGCAAGCTCTGCACATCAAGAACAACAAAAATTAACCACCTTAAACATACCTTAGTCACTAAAAGAATCAGCCTAAAATGAACACATTATAATGTTACGTTACCTGGTGCCATGTAGCCATAAGAACCAGCAACATTGGTCCAACTGGTTGAATCCGGGCTCAAGAGTTTTGCTGTTCCGAAATCTGATAGCTGAGGCTCAAAATCCCACTTGAGCAATACATTGTTGACAGAAATATCCCGGTGCACAATGGGTGGAGAACAATCATTGTGCAAGTAAGAAATTGCATGAGCTAGTCCTTGCACAATTTTCACCCTTGTACCCCAGTCAAGCTCACCACCTCTGTCCTCGCCATACAAGGCTTTTCCGAGGCTGCCTCTATCTAAATACTCATAAACCAAGAACATGGAACCCCGCCTTGAACAGAACCCGAAAAGCCTAATGATGTTGCGGTGCCTGACATGCGTCAAAGTTTTGATTTCGTTCTCAAAGCTCTGCCGATTTATTGCTGGAATGTCGCTAGAATCAGATATGTTAAGCCTCTTAACTGCAACAATTTGGCCCGATAGCAACTCTGCCTTGTACACCCTACCGTATCCTCCTTTTCCAATGCAGTATTTCTCATCGAAGTCCTCCGTGGCCTTCACGATTTCTCCAAATGTAAATTTCACTTCTCTTTCCCATATGTTAGACTCAAAGCTTTCAGATTCAGAACGTTTGGTTTCCACATCAAGCGGCTTAGGCTTCTTTCGGAATATGAGAATCAGAGCAATGGCAGCTGCAATCAATAATAAACCACAAACAGGTACAAAGACACCAATCAGAATTTTGTTGGTGTTCATGTTGGACTTTTTTCCAGAACTGCATGCAGTTAGTCCTTCTGAAGCTCCACACAAGCCAGAGTTTCCTGCAAAGGCATTTGCTGGTGCCCTTCGAAAAATGCCTCCGGTTGGGACTGCACCTGTCAAGTTGTTATGAGAAAAATCATAGCTGATTAGACTATGCATGGAGGAAAATGCTGATGGGATCGCCCCGGAGAGATGGTTGTTTGAGACATTGAGAACCTCCAACTGTGTGAGCTTGGCCAAGTTTGAAGGTATTTGTCCTGAGAGAGAATTGTTGCTAAGATCCAGTAAGTACTTCAACTCTAAGTTGCCAATCTCTGCTGGGATATTACCTGATAACTTGTTGTGGCTTAAGTTCAAGCTCGTTAATTTGTCGAATGTGCCAGGATCAATAGGTACTTCTCCCATGAAACTGTTATCGGACAAATCAAGAAGCTCAAGCTTACTCAATGTGCCTAGACTCTTGGGTATTGATCCCGTAAAATGGTTCCTGCTGACATTGAGCGAGAATAGCAAGCTTAGATTTCCTATTCCGTTAGGAAACTGCCCACTGAATTCATTAGACTCTAAGCTCAGAGAATGCAGTTGTGTCAACTGCGCAAGCTCAGGCGGGATTTGACCTGAAATTTTATTTCTACCCATACGCATAGCCGTGATGTTTATGCATTTTCCCCATTGTGGTGAGAGTATACCAACAAACTGGTTGTCGGTAAGAGCAATGAATTCAAGACTGGGATGAACACCAAATACATTTGTAATGTTCCCGGTAAATTGGTTCCCATCAAACCGGACTCTAGACAATGCCGAACAATTCCTCAAGCACTTGGGCAAAGACCCTGTGAAATTGTTATTGTTCACTGTGAGGACCTTCAAAGCGAATCCACTGCACAACTCTGGTGGCAACTCTCCAGAGAAGCTGTTGTTTGAAAAGCTAACATATGTAAGACCAGGACTGTACTTCCCAAAATTGCTTGGAATGCCACCAGATAACTTATTTGTGAAAACAGAAAAATTCTCCAGGCTTGTGAGGAGAGAAATGTTCTTCGGCAACTCTCCCTCCAGTTCGTTCGTGTTGACATCAAAGGTAGCCAGCGACACCATGTTACCAATCTCCTCGGGGATTGTTCCGCTAAGATTGTTGGAGAAAAGTTGCAAGCTTTGAAGATTGGTGAGACTCCACATTGTCATAGGAATTGGCCCGGATAGCTGGTTCTCGGAAAGATCCAAATCCACCATGTCTTTCAAGTTTCCAATCTCCGAGGGAATTAAGGAAGTGAACTTGTTTTGGTATAAGTACAGGACATTGAGTTTCGTCAACAGCCCCATTTCCGGTGGAATGTTGCCACTGAAGCTATTGTTTTGGAGTTGCAAAGAGACAAGCTCAGTCCAATTGGAGAGCAGAGAAGGCGGGATTGGGCCAGATAACAAATTCCCGGATAAACCCAATTCAACAATGCTAGTCAGACCAGACAAGGATAGAGGCAGCTCCCCAGTGAGGAAATTGGAAGCCAATGCCAAGTATTTGAGATTAGTACAAAAACCGAGCTCGAATAGGGATCGAAGAGTTCAACGAATTCTTTCTAAGATCAAGGTATTGGAGGTCTCTAAGTTGTCCTATGGAAGATGGGACTTCTCCTTCAAGTGAATTGGTAAGCAAATTAATTCTCTGCAGCCCAGAAACCAACCCAATGCTCTCAGGAATCGGACCGTTGAACAGGTTATGGGCCAAATGAAGATGCTTAAGCTTGAGAAAGCTTGTTGGCAATGGCCCTTGGAATTGGTTATAAGAAAGATTGAGATACTCAAGCTTGCCGAGATTGGTAAAAGCACTTTCTGGGATTTCACCAGTCAATGAATTTTGAGATAAATCCAGAAAAGCTAAGTTTTTGCAACCAGATACAAATTTATGTGGGAATTCAGAATCTAGACTGTTGAAAAAAATGTCAAGGTATTGCAAAAGGGGCATGCTTTTAAATTTAGACCAGTCAGGGGTTTCTAAATAATTTCCACCCAGAAGCAAAAACTGTACCTTTTGGAGGTTGGTAAGCTGGTAAGGGATTGCACCAGAGAGGCTGTTGTTGAAGAAGCTGAGATAGTCAACGTTGGTCAACTTCCCTATTTCCTCAGGGATTTCTTGGGCGAAAAGGTTGTTTCCCAGGTCCAAAGTTTTGAGCTTTGAGAGGGTTCCAATGGCGGATGGGATCGGGCCACTGAAATTGTTGGCATTGAGGTTGAAGTGGGTGAGGTTGGAAAATGGGGTGAAGTTGAACTGTGTTAGGGTTGCTGAGATGTTGAGGTTCGAGAGGTCAATTTGGGAAACTGTTTTGGTAATGGGGTTGCAAGAAATGGCTGTCCAGTTGCAGAGGTTTTTGAGGTTTGTGTGTGCCCATGAATCCAGAGAAGGTGGTGGTCGGGAGGAAAAGCTGCTTTTCCAGGCTATAAGTGCTTCTGCTTGTGCTGCTGGTGAAGAGGTTGCCTTCAATGGAAGAAAGGAGAGGAAAAGAATGTGGAGGAGCAGGAGGAGGAGAAAAGGAGGAGAAAGCTTGGGAAGTGCTTTCATGGTGTTTAACGAACTTGACATTGTTGTTTGATTCTAAGGTTTTGGTTGTAAGTTTATATAGAGGAAGAGGGGGTCCACGTTCGGACTTAATTAACAGGAAACTTATGAATATGTGCAAGATGCAAAGTGGTCTCGTCCCATTGCCTTTACTGTTTGTGTTTATTGACATAATTCATTTGAATTCTAAGGTTAATGATTTTATTTTTTGATGCACATGGAAGCGTAAAAAGAATACACTTTTCGTTTATAGCCATATGCATACTCTTTAATGTTGAATACTTGGCTTAATTAGATTTAAACACCTAAAATTAAAAAAATTAAAAAGTATCATACTTCTGTGCCTTTTAAGATTTTGATTAAGGTGCTTAAGTACAATAGGCCACATCAGCATTTCTCTATTTATCAAATTAAACATTTTTATTGTAATTTTTGAAATTAAAATTTTATATGTTAATTTCTTAATTTGTCCTTTAAATAGTTGAACGATTTTTTTTTATTTTTTAAAATATTTTAGAAGTTGCGGACTCTTGCCACTCAATACTACGATCTGGTGGTATTCTTCTTCACTTGTAAGTGAGAGGTCTTAGGTTTAAATCTCGTAGATGGCGAATTTGATATCAAATTAGGTTGCCCATTGTGTGGCTTGCTGAACTCCTCTTCCCTTTAGTGTAACAAAAATGGTGGATGTTTATATTTTTTTGAAATTATTATTATATATTTTATTGAGATAATTGTTTTGTATACATTACTGGTACATTTATTATTGGTTTTCATACGTTGATTTTGTACATGTTATCAATTGCTATGTTTATTTTAATTTGTGGTACATTCTATCTTGTACATATCGTTGATTGTTACGTTTAGTTTTAGTGTTGGATATGTTTAATTTTAGTTTTTGGTACGTTGGTTTTAGTTTTTAGTTTTGGTACGTTTAATTTTAATTTGTGGTACGTAACATTACTAAGGAGCTTCCAATTTCTTCATAAACTTTAATTTTAGCTAATTATACCTCTGAACTTTTATAATTGGCCAACGTACCACTTGGCCTTAGATTTTGAAATTTTTTTGAAAATTTCCATCCACAGCTTGACTGCTACACTGCACATAAGAATAGTCGATTAAAATTAAAATTTGGGAGAAAATTTGTCAATTATAAATGTTCAGAGCTCTGAGGATGCTTCAACGGTTCAATTCATTTGGGTCCTTTGGTACGCCAGGAAATGTTGGACATCTACGTTTTGAATCCTAGGCCATTTAATTTAGGTGGACTGGCTGCAGAAGACCACAGCTTCAAGGATCTGGCTTCTATGCCTTTCCAGTTCTTATACACTTCTATCCTTTCTTATTTTGTGCGATCATAATTAAGCTACGTCAACATTTTATATTGATTTTTTTATAGAGATAATAAGATAAAAAAATAATAATAATATAAAATATTGACGTGACTTAACTGTGATCGTATAAATAGAAGGGAATAAAAGTATATGGGAACTGAGAGTGTAGAAAAGCCAGGTCTCAGGTTCAAAGGTGGACTGACAGATCACCTCCATAGTCTCAAGTTGGAAGAAGACCACAGCCTCCAAGGTGGACTGGCTCCATAGTCTCAAGGTGGAAATCATATGCATGATTCACAATGATGCAGATATAATACGTCAGTGAAAAGAAGGTTAATTGTCATACATGAATTGATTAGTAATCATGTTTGAAAAGTCGATCATAAAGTCTTTGTCTTTGTAAACAGACTTACCCAGCCAGGACAGACGAAGACCTTGGTCTTTCTTTCTTTCTCCTCCGTAACTGATTTTTTTGTTTTTTTGGTTGTGTTCAAAGATATTTTTACTACAAACGTTTTCAACCCATTTAAAAGCATTTTCCAAATGATAAATAACTTTTGTGTTATATGAAGTCGATTTTAATCAAATTTTGGCTAATCTTACTGAATATGCTTTAATCTAATTAATCTGAATACTTTGATTGAAGGACAAAATTTTAAATTTCAGTATTAATTAAAAAAATTCAATAACAAAAACTAATAATTCATTCTAAAGTAATGGAAATATTAATAACAAAAAAGGATTTTTTTTTTCTCAAATTTGAATTGTGTGAATCTCACAATTTTTTTATGTTCTATTTTTAAATATGGATGCGTTTTAAATATTGTTACATTTAATTTACATAATAAAGTGGTACATTTTTTTTATTATGAAAAATGGTACATTATATGTCACATTCCGGCCCGGGGTGAATCACTTCCCGGGACCGCTCCACCACCGTAGCACGATATTGTCCACTTTGGGCTTACCATTCCCTCACGGTTTTGTTTTTTGGAACTCACGAGCAACTTCCCAGTGGGTCACCCATCATGGGATTGCTCTAGCCCCCTTCTCGCTTAACTTCGGAGTTCCTACGGAACCCGAAGCCAGTGAGCTCCCAAAAGGCCTCGTGTTAGGTAGGGATGAGAATATACATATAAGGATCACTCCTCTGGCCGATGTGGGATGTCACAATCCACCCCCCTTAGGGGCCCGACGTCCTCGTCGGCACACCACGGCTAGGGTTAGGCTCTGATACCAAATTGTCACATCCCAGCCCGGGGCGGATCACTTCCCGGGCCCGCTCCACCACCGTAGCACGATATTGTCCGCTTTGGGCTTACCATTCCCTCACGGTTTTGTTTTTGGGAACTCACGAGCAACTTCCCAGTGAGTCACCCATCATGGGATTGCTCTAACCCCCTTCTCGCTTAACTTCGGAGTTCCTACGGAACCTGAAGCCAGTGAGCTCCCAAAAGGCCTCGTGCTAAGTAGGGATGGGAATATACATATAAGGATCACTCCCTGGGTGGTGTGGGATGTCACAATCCACCCCCCTTAGGGGCCCGAAGTTCCTCGTCGGCACACACGCGGCCAGGGTTAGGCTCTGATACCAAATTGTCACATCCCGGCCCGGGGCGGACCACTTCCTGGGCCAGCTCTCACATCCCGGCCCGGGGCGAACCACTTCCTGGGCCCGCTCCACCACAGTAGCACGATATTGTCCTCTTTGGGCCCCGACCACACCCTCACGGTTTTGTTTTTGGGAACTCACGAGCAACTTCCCAGTGGGTCACCCATCATGAGATTGCTCTAGCCCCCTTCTCGCTTAACTTCGGAGTTCCTACGGAACCCGAAGCCAGTGAGCTCCCAAAAGGCCTCGTGTTAGGTAGGGATGGAAATATACATATAAGGATCATTCCTCTGGCCGATGTGGGATGTCACAATCCACCCCCCTTAGGGGCCCGACGTCCTCGTCGGCACACCACGGCTAGGGTTAGGCTCTGATGCCAAATTGTCACATCCCGGCCCGGGGCGGATCACTTCCCAGGCCAGCTCCACCACCGTAGCACGATATTGTCCGCTTTGGGCTTACCATTCGCTCACGGTTTTGTTTTTGGGAACTCACGAGCAACTTCCCAGTGGGTCACCCATCATGGGATTGCTCTAGCCCCATCTCTCGCTTACTTCGGAGTTCCTACGGAACCCGAACCATGACGCCCAAAGGCCTCGTGCTAAGTAGGGATGGGAATATACATATAAGGATCACTCCCTGGACGGTGTGGGATGTCACATTATAAATATATGAATGGTTACAAATAAAAGATTACAAAAATTATGGGTACAAAAAAAAGTTCAAAAATATGGGTACAAATTAAAACTAAAAAGAAAATTGGTACAAATTTAAAAAGTGGTTGCAAGTTAAATTATAAAAATATACGATACAAAATTTAGCTACAGATATAAATATACCGAATGTAACGTTTCTAACATTAAATGAATGTATTTGAAAATGATTAAATAAGTTTTAATTATAAAATTAAAATATATTGACATGTAAATATTTAATCATGGAAATAATGAGGTAGATATAAAAGTCAAAGGATCTTGATAAAAATTGAAAAGAAATAAGGTTTCAATTAATGAAATAGAAAAATGAAGAAAGAAAACCTAATTTCTCCTTCATTATATATGAGTGTTGCTAAGACCACGCTGTTGTCTTATTTTCTCACCCAGTTTAAAATGATAATTTATTGACAAATTTATCCTTGTGTAAAATGATCTTCAAAGACCTAAAAACCAACAAATCATGTCTTACCACATAATTATTAGTTATATACTTGAAAGTTTAAAATTGGAAGTGAAAGGTCTAAGGTTCGAATCTTGTGGATGGCGAAATCGATACCAAATTAGGTTGCCCATTGTGTGATTTAGCCGAACTCCCCCTCCCTCTAGTGTAAAAATATCGATGTACTAAAAAAAAAGAAAAAAAAAGTATCATACATGAGAGCAAGTGACACTTTATCACAGTGATGGAAATGTATTAAGCCTTTGCATTGACGGCATAGGCTCAAACCTCGTCGATACTAATCTAATATCTAATATAATAAAATCTATCATTTGATAAAAATAAAATAAAAGTATCATAAATGAGGAAAAGGAAAAAAAAAATTAGAACCCCAATAAATCTACTCGGCCTCTAGTCCCTCTCGGATACCATATTAGATGAGTTTTTATCATTAATAGCCAAAATTTGATCTTAATTTCAAAAATGTCAGTTTTTATAAAAACTTTCAAATATAACAAAATGTTCACTTGAATAGACACAAATATCCTTATAATTTAACCTAATTACCCCCAAAACCAAAACCCTTTTGACTGCAACCTTCATGGAGGAGAAAATTGTAGAGCCGCATCCCAAATGCCAAGCAAACTTCCAAATTCAAAAATCACTTTCCCGATTTATGAAACTACCATGGATACAATTTTATCAAGCCATGCTTTGTCCACATTTCTTGAATTGCCTTCCACTTCTCTCTCTCTCTCTCTCTCAAAATTCCTACTTTTTTTCTTCAGTTGTAATTTTTTATACTGATAACATATGCAACTTTGCTTGTCTAATCAAAATTACATAAGTAATTTTATTTTCCACTTCTCTCTCTCGGTCCACATTTTTGTAATTTTTTTTTCCAGTTGAATTGCCTAGTCAATATTTTGATTGTCT